AAAAAGTAAAAATATTAAAAAAAAATTTTCAACAATTTATTTTTTATTTAATTCATATTTATAAATTATTTTATTTGCAATAATTTTTTTTTATTTTCCCGAAAATTAAAAATAACGTATTGTAATAATTTAAAATAATTATTTTAATTTTTAAACAAAACAAAAATTCCACTCTAATTTTTTTTTAAACCTAAATATAATATATATAAATTTTAATTTTATATTACCAAAATGTTCATTTCATTGCTATTAATAAATAATATTAAAACACATTTTTCTAAATTTTATGTATAAAAAAAAAAAAAAAAAAAGAAATTCTCTCTGTTTCATTTGTGGTTTCTTAAAGTAATTTAATTACGTCTTTTTATATACATAACGAAACAAAAAGAATAAATTCTAACTACTTTTGCTTTATTTATATTTGTGAATTAAATGATATTTATTAATATTACGTTTAATTTTACTTAATATTTTTTGGTGATACAAATGTTAACTATACTTAAGTATTACACTTTAATCCTTTTTCATTAATAAAAAAAAAAAATTCTTATCTAGAATTAAACTTCAAAATTTAACTGTGAAAACTAAATGTATAATTATATTTAAATAAATTAAAATGCCTTTTCTATTGAATAAAAACCAAAAAAAAAAGAAAAATAAAAGGAGTGTGTTTACAAAATAATTATCTTAAATATACATTTCTTAAAAATTTTTATTTTATCACTTTTTTTTTTTTTCTAAGTATACTAATATATCTTTAATATGGAAATGGTAAAATAAGTGAAAATTAAATAAACCATATAATTAAAATTTTTTATTTTGTATCTACATATATATTAAAATGTTTTTTTTTCTTTTTTAAAAAATATATTTTAAAAATATATTATAATTAATATATAATTTTTTAAAAATTAAAAAGGTATTTTTGTGCGTTTGACTATAAGATTTATATGTACGAATTTATTACGAATAATTATTATTTTATGCTAAAGATATAATGAAAAAACTTACTAAAAAGGAGAAAAAAAAAACTAAAAAAAATTAATATTCTCTATAATAATATAGAATTTTTTTCTTAAATAAAAGTTTTTACCAAATAAAATAATTTTTATTTGTATGACAAAATTTTGTGCAAATAAAAATTTTTTTTATAAATTTTTTTTTTTTTTTTCTCATATATTCTTTTTAACTTTTTTTTTTTATATATTTACATATTTTTTAATTTTTTTTTTTTTTTTTTTTTCTTTATATTGCAATATTTTTATTTTTATTTCTCCTTTTTTTCTTTTTAATAATATTTTCATAATAATTTTTTTCAATTTATTTTTATATAATAATATAACATTTTATATATAATTTCATATTATTTTTAAAATTTTGCTTATAGTAATATTCAAGTTAAATACATACTGCATGTTTTTTTTTTTTTTTTTTTTTTTTTTTTTTTTTTTT